TGACAACGTGACGGGACACTAATGTGTGTGTAGGTAATGCGTAATTGAACTGCAGTCAGATAGAGACGTATTGTTGAAGGTAACGTTCGTTGTTATAGCGTTTGATTTAGCGCGATTGTTGAAAGTAAGTGTATCGTAAAGTTATATTCGGAAAGAATAAACCAGTTTTATTAAGTAAGGACTTGTGTCGCTAAAGTTTCGTCGGAACGAAGTTACAGAAAGTTAATTAACAAACGGAGACGTAACAATATTTTAGGCATTTAAAATTAGATTAATTTCAAATTGATATATTTACTTTTTTGTGTGTATTATTTAGAACCTGATATATAAAAGGCAAAACTTTTCGTAGTATTTTCGAGAAATATTTCTTTATTTCATTTATAAATTCAAAGTTTTTACTGTTACAAAAGAAAAATCACAAACAATAGGTGAAAAATAGACAAGAAAGTTAAGCTTCCAAATATTACTTTTTATTCTAACCTAAATTTACTTAATACGACTTAATTTTGCTCTTCATTTCGTAAAATATATCGTCAAATCTGAATTTTTAGTTAATCTTTCGCAACAAAAAACTCTGGCCACAACTTGTCAATATCAGTTCCTTGAATTTTTTGGCGAAACTTTGCCATGAGTCGATTTGATTGTGGTAAGGAAAAATGTCCTTTCCAATCGCCGACAATCCCCTTTCTTACTATTTTGATTTCTGGTTTTGGAGTAAATTCAATGTTTTTCATAAATTCTAGAATGTGTTTCAATCCTTCAGGAAGCTCTGGATCTTTTAACTGATCATCGTTTGGACTTAACCCAAAGAAACTTCCAAAATGCTCATTAGTAGATTTCTTCATGTTCTCGACACTAGTATGGCGAATAATTCTCTCCATTAGGTTCTCATCCTTAAGGAACATATGTTCGTACTCTTGATTTAGAAATTTAGCTATTTTTAAAACAGCAGCTTGTGTGTCGGCCTTCATTTTTTCGTAGACGAGAAATAATACGTTTGGATCTTCTCGGTGCTCATACCAAGACAAAAGATGGTCGAAGTAATCTCCATAATCAGTTTGGCCATTGATAAAAATATCAAAATATTCGTCAAATGTCCCATCCGAAAACTGATAGAATGGAAACTCCTTGGTGTGATGATAAAAAGATACACAACAATCAAAGGGATTTCTTGCCACATAGATATACTTGGCTTGGGGAGAGTAAGGTTGAAGGTTGAAAGGAAGGTGAGTTTTAATGGCTCCAGGACGAGGCATGGTTTCTACAACACCAGGTCCTGTAATATCAAGGAAAGGACTAAGCCTTTGAAATTCTTTGAAAGTTTCTGGTGGGATTCCCCTTTTAAGAATGTTGATTACGATATGCTGCGTCCACGTTGTTCCGCATTTAGGAAATGTTACAATAAATAAATCATCGTTTCTCGGTTTATAAGAAAGGGCTTTGCGAAAAGTGTCTGGCGAAAAAGCTTTAGCAATCCTGAATCCATCGACAACTTGATAGCTGGGAGTCATACTTTCTTGTGTTGTTATAAAATCTTGAACAGTGTTATTAGCTGAAAGAAAAAGGAACAAATTAAATATAGTTGTTCAGTTTAACATTGATTTTTATATTATATTATTTTACATTAACATACTACAAAATATGCTCGTTTCATTTTTACGAAACAAATCTAAATATTGACGTAATAGCATGTAACAATATCAAAAATAATACAACATAATACTAATATTAGTGAGTAATAAAACAAAGAACGACAGTTTAAGGATCATTATTTGATTGAAAATAATAAAATGTGTAATTTATTCATTAAACAAAACTGAAAATGGTGTTGTGTTTCCATTATTAAGATAGAATAGCTATTGTGACCACTACATTCGGTAAATATCAGTCGCTGGAGAATCTAAGACGATAAAATAAATTTTAATATTTTACTCACTTCATTATGGTTGCAGTCATGTCTCAAATGAAATCTTTTTAAAATTAGCTTGTACTTTTAATTGAATCACTTTACTATTTACTTCTCAATATATGGAATTATATATGTCAATGAATTACGAACATAACAGATTATAAAGCTAAGAAATATAAACAGAACCTTATCACTAAATAAATGAAAAACTTATATATATATAAATGACTTAAGTTTTAAATAATATGAAACCTGGATTAAATACAAAAGTAAATGTAACCAATGTAATAGAAATAGCGTCAAATAAGCTTATATTCTGAAATACAAACTATCTCTCATAGGCCATGTTTTAACTAATGTCTTCTGATAGGTTGTTAAGAGTACTTATAAGATACTTTCCAACTAATAATAAAATCTTATTTATGAGAACTACAATGTAAATTTAGACGTGAAAAAGGTAAAATATTCAATTTGAATTGGAAATCCTCGTTGTTAAGTTTAGTTTCTTCCAAATTTTAATGGGATCTACCTTTACTTCGACGAGTCTCAACCCAACTTTGTAGCGTGGATCACGGTTTAATGTTGCAAATGGCACACATTGGTCATCATTAGACTATAGTGATGTCGAATGTTGGCAAAAGTATCTAATCTTTCATCGCTGAATAGGTCACATGATACTGTATATGTAGACTAGTATAGAACTATTTACGTGACTGTGTGTGTGTGTGTACTTTGTGCTAAGAGTAAATTAATTTTACTTCTACATTGTTACTAAAGTCTGTACATTTTAAGTTCTAACAGCTGAATATAAAAGAGTTGATAAATTTCTTCTTGTCAAAATCTCTTAATGCTGTATCTTTAGATTTATTATTTTACAAAACGCTTAAGATCTGTTTTGCATGTATATATTTCAATAAACAAGACGTGTTTGTAACGGTAAATCCTAATTAGGTGTTTTCATACAAGCCAAAACATTCACATGACTACTTAGTTTGGCAAAAATTAAAACTAATTTGACAATAAGAATTTTTGATAATGGGTTTTACAATAACACCATCAATATATACGTTTGTATATATGCGTTTGTATGTAGTAACGGTGTGATTCAGATGTATTTATTAAAGACATCAGAAATACTGGATGATATGAATAATATATGTCTCCGAACACTTTTATTTTTATGTTGAGAACCACGTATTAGAGGGTTTATTCATATAAAACATTCCCGTACCATATTACAAAAATTAATTTCTTTGATAAATTCTAACCAGAGCTGAAAATCAAATCTCCTTAGTATTTTTAGCTTTTATTTTTGTATCAATAAATATAAAATAATACGTGTAGGTACAATCAATCTTAATTTTTGAGTCAATTTAGACAGTTTAAGATATGTCTTTTTTTTTTCTAAGATAGATGAACTGAAAATGCATCCAGGCGTCGGTATGTTATTCTTTTTTTTATATATATCTTCTTAATTAGTAGGTTCATATTTTTATCTATTCTCTAGAAAGAAAAAAAAATTCCTTAACTCAAATTATATGTTTTTGAATCTATAGTATTTTCGTTTGCCTCGTTATGTTTGCTCGCGTTGGACTTGAACTGGAGACTTCTTACATAACGTGTGAGAGCTAATGGGCTAATTAATAAGGTAGCGGCTGCTATTAACTACTCAAAATGTGAATTATAGCATGTGCTTAAGTTAAAGTGACTGTGGAAATTAAGTGTATTGCAAAGTTGTATTGAGAAAGAATAAACTAGTTTTATTTAAGAAAGGACTTGTATCGCTGAAGTTCCTCAGCTATCTGTGCTCTGCCCACCACGAGTATCGAAACCCGATTTCTAGCGTTGTAAGTCAGCAGACATGCCGCTGTGCCAAAGCGGTGGCAGTACAATAACAAACTTTGTTGCATAATAGTTTACCAGGCAATACCTTTGATGCGCAATGTATTTTACGCTAACTTTAATAAATATATGTATAAATATATATTATAAGGTCCATCTCGAAATATTGGATTATTCGCTGAACATCGCTGAATAATTCGAGTTTTTATTTTTACTTTATTTATTTTTAGTATACTCGGCAAAGAAAATTTGAAATAAGAATTCAGTTCCTCCGCCATAAATTTAGCTATCCTATATAATATTTAATTTTGCATATGAGGTATATCTATCATAAAGCACAAACAACAAAGATAAATCTATAAAATAACCCAAAATTGTTTAAATTCACAGATTTATACTTCAGATAATACAGATCATGTTGTTATGAAATCAAGAACACTAAATATTACTGAATAATTCTCTGAAGAGTACTAATAAATTTGACGATTAACAACCTATCTGTCTGTGTTGTTTATTAGGAGCAATCTGTTTTTTCCTCTTACTAGTTTGATGTTTCCGCGAGGGCTATGATTGGCTTGTATGCATTCCTAAATATTAGATGGACCAATTTTTGAGAAAAATTCGTAACAACGTAGGAATTCTAATTGGAAGAATTAGTTACATGTATGTCATGTGAAAACTTATCAATCTTGTTGCGTATCTGCTTGTTTGTTAATTTCCAGTATAAATTCTTTCCGAGGAACTTCAGCTATACAGGTCTCTTCTTGATTAAACCAGTTTATTCTTTCTCGATACAAACTTTAGTACACAGTAATTCCACAATCA